TGTGACCTTTCCTCCCTTGGGTCAAGTGGCACGTCATGTTCTGTGATGTTTTTCACACCCGGCCAAGGCAAGTAGAGTGCCTGCCTTTTTTGGGCACACAGGTTGGGGCCTAGTAAGCGAATGGTGATTGCCTCGACCATAGCTAGTGTTCAAACTCCGGCCGCCCTCGATCAATTGAGTGGGATGCGATACATAACATGGAAACCTTTTCCGGTTCGGTCTTGTTCACTCACCGACTCGTTTTCTCGAAGTTCTATTTCTCACCGCTGGCGGCATTGACCTCTATTCTGTGCTAATGAGCCTGGCATTTCCCAAGGCTGCGACAAAACTTCCATTCGACTCACTTAAGCGGCTGCTGCTTAACCAAATGCTGCCCACTGGGTTTCAGGCATACGAAAGGACCAAATTCAATTCCTTTGTATGTGCCGAAAACATTGTCGTGATTTCATCATTCAGCCGAACTAACAGATGGCACGTTGCAATCGCGGCGATTGTCAAGACGAACACCGGTGTGACCATCTGGTCACAGGTATCATCAAAATGACACTGCGACGGAAGTTGCTTGACCTGACGTTCGCAGAGGCGCACAAGATCTGTGAACATTATGATAACCTGATGCAAGCAACTTCCAGTGAAGCTTTCGCTTAATTCCAGAGGCACAAACACAAACCATTTGAACCTCTAGTGACGAAAATGCATCCAATCCACAACGGGACATTCCTGGCACCGAGAAACCGGTAAACCTATACCTATCGTGTGGAGTTTATCATCTGCGCTCCACGAGTCGATTCCGCAGTACTAAGTGCCATGGGTGCGGGAGAATTGACCACATGTGGAGAGTGTGCGGACGGCCCCGTTATAACATACAACCACTGACCTAACCGACCAAAAACACTGTGTTTGCACTGCGAACAGAATCAGTATGCGAAGTTCATACACAAAGATAGCGTATCACTGTCCGGCACGCAGCACTAATTCATTGAAGATATAGGAAGTACGGAATCCATCATTTTTGTTGAAGTACTGATCGAGTTTTCCCGAAGCCAAAATCCGTCCAACTTCTGTGCACATCCTCGGTGTTACGGGGCACAAGCTGCCGTTGATGGGCGAGGTTTTGCTGGTAGACCAGTCTACATAAAACTGTTTTGTCCTCACTCGCTTCTTGATTTTCAAAAGCAGTTCATCCATACTTATTTTAGCTGCCAATCGTGTGTTGACCCAATATGGGGCACTCCACATCCAGAATCCCGTCGAATGCACACACGCATCTGCAGCGTTTAATCATGAAGTGTTACAACAACGCTGGAGGTAGGCACGTTCAGCCTGCCGAATTGGAAATTGATGGTTGGCCATGAAACGGAGTGTAATCCCATATGGTCAACGCGAAGGTTTATTGAAAGCCATCGAGAAAATGGAGCCTGATGGTAATACAACTCACGTCACGTCAAGTGCGCAGGCAACACCACTTGTGCTAGTAATCAAAAGTTACGGTAAAGAACCACGAATTTGCGGCTCACGCTGGATTCCCGGCTGAAAAAGTGAGCCGCCACCACCCTGGAACCAGAAGATTTCATGAAAGCGTATCATGGCAGTACGTGCCTTTTAAAAATCGACTTAGCAGATGCATATTTTCCAAGTCCTCTCCTTTGAGCATGCAGGTGATTCACTGACATCAACACATTGTGGAAACTGTATCAGTACAAATTCCTACCGTTCGTTCTACATACTTCATCGGGTATATTACAGACAGCTATCGATGAGGTCATTCTTGGACTTGATGGTGTATTGGCATATTAGGGCAATATTTTTGTATTCGGTACAACGATGGTTGAACACGATCACCGACTTCTCTTTTGTGTGGTCTAACGCATTTGTTGGATAAATCTTATATATTGTACCCATTGAACGCGCAACATTATTTCTCGATGTACGCACACACACAAGCACATGACAGGGGTATTCCTCGTATTAGACCTCGATTGCATTGATCAATCAGATTGCACTACGTGTCTGCTAGTTTTGGTGATCCAGACTTCCGTGACCGCAATCCATGCGCGATCCGGTACAGTTTTATGTCATCCAATCACCGTTCAGGAAGCTCGACCAATGGTACACCGGGCGAACATGACATCCGAATTAGTACATATGATGAGTCGGTGCAAACGGTTACGTGATTGGAGGATGCTCGTTCAAGCAATCGTATGGACCATTACATTCTACAAAATATGATCTAATTCCATCAGTAAACATAAGCATTTACTGCTATCAATTCCTCGTGCATTTCGTTGGTGCCCGCAGTTTGGGTTGGAGCCAATTCTGTTCTGAGCAGTACAGTACGGGTTCTCGTATTCCTAAATTTAGTACTATTCTGATTACCACAATTTGGCGTCGCGCAATGGAGATTCCTGCCATGAACCAATGAACCTCCACGGAAGCCCTTCGGAAATCGAAGAGTGGGTAGAACGTTTCGAATTATAGTGCAGTATCCAAAAAGGAGGAATTCAAAATCAGTCGGTCTTATTTTTGACGTTGGGCGACCGAGAGCTGTATTCCGTGGTGAAGAATCTAGCGTTCCCGAATGTTCCTACTGAATTGCCGTTCGAGNTGCTGGACCACATTCTCCCAGTGGATTTTCAGGCCACCGAACGGGCCAAATTCAACTCAATGATCAGAGCTGCCAACGTGCCGTGCCGTGAATTCATTCTCCATTTGAAAAAAAACAGGCGTCAAAATGCAACTATGGTGACCGATTGGAAGAATGACTTTGTGACTGTCTCATTGCTCAAATCAACATCTCATTACAAAGTAAGATGTTGGAAAAGAAAGATATCACGTTTGCTGAGGCTCGAAAAATCTGTGAGAAAAGTGATGATTTGTGTGCTGCCACAAATGCGGATACCCCTGTGTTATTCCATCGGCAATCAACGAAATCATTACGTGGCGCACCCAATGTTCATAATTCACCCCAGGTTCCTCAAGTACCCAGTTCAAGCCAAACACAACCGAAAACTGCGACCAACCGCTGCTTTTCATGTGGTGAATACCATCTTCGTTTGACTTGTCGATTCCGTAATGCCACTTGCCATGCATGTGTTAAGATGGGCCATATCCGCAAGGCATGCCGAGTGCCCAAGTGCAACCTCATCGATTCCCATATCCCAACGGCGGATAAGAATTCAAGCCCAATCTACACGCTGCACACCACTGAACCCAACGGCCAGTTCATGTTCGCCCCACTGAGTTTCGAGTCTGGTGTGGAGCATCGATTCATCATGGATACAGGAAGCAGCGAATCTATCCTACAGAAATCAGCACTCACTGTGATTTGTCCTAATGATGTTCTAGCCCAGACTTCTATGCGCATTCATGGGGTGACTGGCCATCAGTTGCAATTACATCGCGAAACGATGTTGTGCGTTCAATCTGAATCCCGTGTATCAATCCCAATCCGATCCCTGGTATCAGCCCACAGTCCTACAGTCTATGCTGGGCCTGCGAGCCATGCGGTTACTACCAGGATCAATCACACTACATACCATCAACGATATGCCAATCACCTCACATTTTCAACATTTGATTGTACAGTGTTCCGGTAACGTTGGTGGCATGAAAGTACCATCGGTAAAGTTGGAATTGGACGGTGAATCTATTTTCCTAAAACGACGCGTCCTCCCATACGGTCAACGGGAAGATGTCCTGAATGCGTTACAGAAAATGGAGCAGGATGGTGTGATGAGCAAAGTTGAATACGGTATCTGGGCGACCCCGATCGTCGTGGCGATGTAAAGTGATGATAGGACACCACGGATCTGTGGAGACTATCGACTGACATTGAATCCCAGATTATGGAAATGTGCAGCGACCACCATGGAACCAGAGGATTTCATGATGTCATTGCATGGCTGCCAGTATTTTTCCAAGATCGATTTGGCGGACGCATACCTACTGATTCCACTCGTTGTCGAATCTCGCTACTTGACAACAATCAACACGCCGTGGGGAATGTTTCTTCCATCACAAGATCATATTTTCAAGACCAATTCATTCTTTTCAGAAGAACTGGACCAAAAATTGACAGGCACTTCGGGAGAGGGGTGCCGTTTGTTGACCTCCAGTTGAATGTGAAAAATCTTTCGTGAGGAGTTTTATTGGTGGCATTGCACAACAGTGAACAGAATGAATGCAAAGTGTCCAGTAGAACACGTTCCCAGTGGTTTATATCTATTTGTTGAGATTTTAGAACCAGAGTAATGGCTCTCCACGAAGTTTCATTTAATCTTTCGATCTTCCGTTAACTTATGGATCGTATGGGGTTGTCCGACTGGTTGCTACTTCCCTTTTGTGGAGAAAGCTCTGCAGTTCAACCGATTACCCTCCTGTGTTCATTGAAAGTTATACAGTGTTTCGAGTCGGCATCTATGAAGTTTCAGAAATTTCGATCGTGTTATTCCGAGTCACGACAGCGTAATGTGACGTTGTCCACGTACGCAAACGTATCTTGTAAATGTTCTTTATGGATAGTATTATCTATCTTACGTTGGAAGCAAGCAACTCCGTTCATAATCCAGAACGGAATACGACAGAACTGATACAACTTACCATAATCTTCAAATGGTGTAAATGGCTTCTTCTGTTCTCGGATGGGAATTTGATGAAAGGTGCTTTGCAGATTAAGTGTACTAAATGCAGAATACTTTGTCACCTGTTAAACTAGTTCATCCAATCGTGGCACAGAATAAGCGTCAAGATAAAAGAAACGGTATTTCGTTTGGTTGTAATCATTTAACATCCGTTTATTATATTTCTCGTCGGTTGTTACAAGAACCTGTGCCTCCCAACTAGCAGTGAAAGGTTCTATAATCTTGTCTAACAACAACTATTTGACTTCGGCTTTGATAAATCATGATCGGAAACTGAGCAACGGCGCGAGTTCGTAGCGATGGATGCGGTGTTTGGGGCTAGAGTTTTAAACATATATGGATTTTCCACTTTTGCTGCATTGAGGATATATATATAGAGAGAAAGGTATACGATTACTATTAAAGAGAGCGTTTATATTCTGATGCTGAACGAGCTGAAAACAGCGGTTCCGCCTTTGTGGCGAAGCTTGGGCTGAAACGCAAATAGTTTTGGAGACATCCCATGATGGACCTACTTTGGCGTTGGTCTTTCGGTGGTTCCATTTCAGCCAGGGGACGAAGGCGACCTGGGTCAGTACGGTATCTTTTCGAATCGGCTCTGAAACCCAAACACTTCATTTCTGGAGGCCTGAACACACATTTGGATGCCAGAAGTGACATATTCTTTTGAGCCACACGCTCCAGTAATTCGAGGATTACTTATTCTTCGCATTGAAGTGCGGAAGAATTTTGTGATATTGTTATACTTTGGATCTTTTTACCATGGTATCACTGTTTGCTGATAATGTAGTCTTTTCATCTTTCTATTGTAGTCGATGTACCCACATTGTTCGAAGATTAAGGCCTCGTTTCCGGCTACCCGTTTTTTCTCTCATTCACCGCTGAATCATTCGAGCTCATCAAATGAACTGATCATCGTGCACTGCAATTCAGTCCAAACAAATCGATTTCCAAACCGATGGCGTCGATGATTCAAAGATGGAACATTGCACTGGCTGCCTACGATTAAGAAATAGCTAACCGGGCAAAACATTTCCTCAAGCCAATTTTCTCTCCTGGTGGTCCAGATTCTCGGCAGCTAAAAATGGCCATTCCATTGCACCAGCACGCCCGGTATTCTGAAAGGAATTGTGCAACATCACCAAAGGGTACAACACAGACATTATAACAGCCTTATGAAAAGTTTGGAACCCAAATCTGTCACTGGTGGTCCAGTTACATCATATATATGGTAGTGAACTCAATGATGGATTCGGGTGACCATGATGCCTTGGACATTGTTGCTGCTAGGGTTTCCTTGGAAAATAGACGCAAAAGAATTTCCAACTAATTACGCAATGAAAACTAAAGAAATCCAGTTTATGGTGCATAGATTTCTTCAAACTCCCCAGCGATTGCAGGTGCGAAAGATGTAGACTTTCAACTATGGCGTTCTTTTTCTACGAGTCATTCAATCAATAAAACAATCTAGTACTGGTGGCGAACACATGTACACCAACCAAGTAGGAAGTCTAGATCGATTTTAGATGGAAGGCGTGAAAAAATACTGTGAGAATTTTAAAAGATTTTAACCACGTGAGGAGACGATGAAATTTGATGGAATTTCATAGTGGTTGTTGCTTTCCAAGTGGGGTGAGGGGAAACGGTGAAGGATATTGAGTCACTGTATAGCGTGAAGCAGTAATTACAACATTCAGGTCTAAAGGGAACATAAACGCATATGCGAACACTGAATTTGAGTGAGCTGGAGATCAACTAAATGGAAAAATCTGGCAGTTTTGAAAAGAATGAAAACAAGTGGCGTTGCTTTCAATCCAACGGGATTGAAAGGTCGTTAAAATTTTACGAGAAACGTAAGAGTAATAGATTGACACATTGAAGAACATCTGAGAGAAGACAGCTTAAAACCACAGAAGTAAACAGTATCTATCCTGAGATATATTATAGGTCTCAGTTTAAATTTGCACAGTGATTAATGATGCACATACCCGCGATAGTTTTGCTTGCTGACTTTACTTTCAAGTTCGAAGATGAAGTATAAAGCCGAGGGCGGTACTACGATAAACACACAAATGCGGTAAACTAAACGTGAAAAGATACTGAGTAGATGAACGAATTCCACTGTTAACGGCTCTCAGCCATATCAATTAGTCTTTCCCATCGTCGATAAGACTAATCCTGAAATCTCCGACTGAGAGGCCTAATGCGACCAGCATGTCCGAATCTCCTGGCCATAGTTTTCATGCCCTCGTACAAGGTCTTGGTTTAATTGTGGTAACATTCTTTTCATTTTCTATCGCCGTTCCCGTGATCGTGCGCTTTGCTCTCTGTACATTTTCTGCTGCAGGTCACATACACTTCATATGCTCGTACCTGGCTTTCTTCTCAATTCGTTCTCGCCTTGAGAAACCTCGTCATAAGCCCGAACGATTGAATACGTAGACGTGTCATAACTTCAGCCCGATAGCATCCGTGCTAAATTGGTGAGCCCGAATTTTTTAACCCTTTTTTAGCACCCAACGGCTGATATTTTTCAGTGAGTCTAATGCTCCGCACAAACAATTTTAGTTTTGCGTATTTTTGCGTATACGTTTATTATTTATTTTACATTTTTGACGATTTCATTGCAAATATCACTATTATTCTCTACGTACCTATTTTTGTCGTCGCAAAACTACGTCTTTCGGATTTTGCGTTTTGTAGTGACTCCGTTTCGTCACTAGTGTTTTACGTCACGTTTCTTTTTGTTTTACTGAACTTTGACGCACGTTAGACCCACACACTTCCACCTTGGTCGTTCAACGCACCGTGCTATGCCACTGTGTTTCACATTCAAATACAGTGCCTTTTGTCCAGGTCTCATAGTCTGCCTTCT